AGCATAATGTCATGATATTAGCCTAAAGTACCAGCTTGTAGGTAAAAGCCCTCATGGATTATGTCCTCACTCTATTCTTCAGAATAATGTTATTCTCCAACTCTGTGTAAAATTCTAGCATTTACATCTGTTTAATTATAGCAGTGTAGACATTTTGTCCTAACCATATCAATTTTTCATAATCATGAATAATAATGCAAGTTGATCACAGAGCTGTTTTATGCGAGTCCCTCTCAGCCCAAAAGGACTGTGAAAAATAAAACATCCACACTGTGTTGGTTAACAGTTACTCCAGGTTTCAGCCCTCATATTTAGTTATTATTATTTAGTTGTTTTTCCAATTAGTTTTTGGTGAGTATACCTCTGCTAACTGCTAAAATCTATACTACTCACCACAACCTTAGGATTTGCAGCTGCTCAAGTGAACACAACTAACATGACTTACCATCATGTTCAAAAGTGCATCACTGTTATTTTGGATCCTTCCTAAACACACTTACAAAAGGACAAAGGAGGAGTGTTCTCTGGTCAGTAATCAAAGACAGCTTCAGCCCAGCCCACTCCTAGGTGTTTTGCTTTGGATTGTTGAGGTGCAGCAGAGCTGGGCTGAATCCATCAGCAGTGATAAGACGACACATTTCTCACACCAGCTATAAACCATAAGTGTTTTTACCAGACTGATAGGGTAACAACAACAGTTATTATGTCTAAGGAAGACTGATACTGAAGGAAATGCCAGGGGATTTCTCCGCTCTTGTCGAGACTTCATCTTCATATTGCCGCTGCAGATGTCTCCTGCAATGTTTGTCGGCAAAATGTAATAACAGTCAAAACAAGTTTGTACTCACATGAAATGAAGCCAGAGGCTGTTATTTATTAGTGTTTGTCATTGTGTCTGTTATGGTGCCTGCCTCTTTTGTCGCCATGTTTTCTGTTTCTCACTTTTGTGACAACTTCTCCTAACTACACTTTGATTTCCCCTTTTTTCCTATTTATCTCTGCCTCTTCCCAATCTCTTCCTCTTTCAATCTGCTTTCCTGCTGCCAGGGGGTGAACTGGGAACCGTGGAAGGGCCACCTGACCTCCCTCGACTTCACAGAGATGAAGATTCGACCTTTGGGAGCTTTGTCCAGCAGGAAGAGGCGGTCACTGATGGCCAGGGACAAGAGCAGAAACACAAATCTCCAAAAGAAATAAAACGAGCACCTCCTTCTAAAACCTCAACAGCTGTCTTCAGTCACGTTAACCTGCCTTCACACTAGATGTTTTGGTGCTCTGACCATGCAGGAACACCCACTGATCTAACAGGCCTCTCAGCTCTTGGGCAAAATTTAGTTTTTGGGCACAGAGAGAAAAGCTCATCTACAATAGTAACTTATTATTTGTTTGTCTACAATTAGATTAACCAGAAAAGCCAAGGTTCATTGTGATTGAGAGCGGAAAATAAGAAGCCTTGAGTTGAGTTGTTTTAAAATGAACTAAAGTTGACCAGTCAATCAAGATCACTGGTAGAAACCTCACTTATACATCAGGAAACATCAGATTTAAGTAAAATTGGAAACCAAGAAAGCCAAATTGTATCTCATTACTTACTGTATTCATTTAACCTTTGTTTTAACCTCAGGGCAGCAGCCCAAGTTATTTGTAGTTTATTTGCTAGTTTTTATGAAAAATTTAGGGGGAAACTTTTATAGTCATAGTATGTCTTAATAACATTAATCTTTTTTTTTTTATTGACAAAAAACGGCTTGTGTGCTTTGTTTTACACCACATGTAGAAGATTAGCAAGTTATTGCCCCTCAGTTCACTAATTGTGAAGCTGCCTTTGCCATACTGAGCTGCGACTGTGCCTCAGACACTGTCACATCACATTAGTTTGTGCAGGACAAGCCAGAGACTAACAGTGGATGACTCTTGGATGAACATAGTATATTACTCCTGCTTTACATTCATATGGTAGGGACAGCGCACATCAATCAGTGTGATGTGCCCATATAAAACATCAATAAAAATAAAGCACCATTCTCAGGACCTTAAAGTTTTGTTTTCAGTCTGGAAAGCTGACAAAGGTTAATAATAATGCTTTGACCTAGCCTTTATTACTTAATCACATTTTTTAAACATGTTTATTAAAACCTGTGTTGGTTTATGTGTCAAGGATCAAGCACATCCATCAGACTTTATGCTAATGTGCTGGAACTGATTTGCAGTCTCTGCATTCACTAAAGTTTGGCCCATAAGGTTTTATTCCAGACTATCCTCAATCAGAATCAGGGACTGTGGCTAAGAAATAAAAATCTTTATATTAATATTGTCTTTACTGATTGTATTTTCAAACTGACAAAGCTGTTCATGCAGGTTTCTGCTACATATTCACCCAATAAATAATATAAATAAAGGTTTTGTTATATGAAGGCATTGTCACTTTCCTCATCCAAACCTAGAGCATTAAGGCATAAAAGCAAGTAGCTCTGTCTTTTTTGTCCCATGGATTTCAGTGAAGACCTTGCAGTGATTAATGGTTTACCATGGAAAGTCAGGAGGGGTTTTAAAGGTACAATGTATAAGATCTTGAAGGATTTGTTTGCAGAAATGGATTGCATATTTATGTTTTCAACAATGCGTAATCACAAAAAATAAGAATTGTTTCATTTTATTTAACTTAGAATGAGCCTTTTATATCTAGATAGGAGTGGGTCCCCTACCATGGAAGCCACCATGCTTTTTTTTACAGTAGCCCAGAATGGACAAACCACCCACTGGCTCTAGAGCATGAATTTCTCATTTTCACATTGAGGTAGCAGCCTTGACTTGAAGATGCTTGGAAGAGAAAGTAATGTTAGAAGAAGAGGAAACAATGTTGTGAGTTTAAGAACTATAATTTGAAATGGAGGATCCTAGTTAAACATTCACAAGAAAAAGTTGCACAGTGTGAATCCCCATCGGCAAAGAAGCAAAGACATGAAGAAATCTGATAAGTGATGGCACAAGAAGAGGATAAACATTGATGTGTCGTTTCTCACATGGAAACCTTGATGAGGGACAAATATTTCCAGATTGACGCCAAAGTTGCCTATGTTCTGCTTGACAGGTCATTTAGCCCAACAAGTATAATTAACCTAAATGCAAGTTTTTTTGTTTGATAGCTATAACTAGAATGTGGTCAGTACTGAGTAACCCACTGTGCACAAAGTGAGCCACCATTAACTTTTGCTTGGTCAGGTCAGCTGCACTTGTTTTGTGAGTGTGCAATTAGGCCTACATTTACAATAATCACTGTGAAATAGCTGTGAGGGCTGTTTAACATGATGTATGAAAGCTTTGCTGAACATTGCAATCTGCAGCCTCACCACTAGAGGTGTCACAAGATCCCACACACTGCACCTTTAACCTCTAGAGTCCCTGCGTCCTCATATGAGGACCGCACAGCTTGGGTTTCCAAAGCTCAGGACTCTAGAGGTTATAATACTTTTTTGAAAAATGTGAAACCAGCCTTTAATATATTCATTCATATATATTCATTCAAATGTGTAGCATTTAAGTAGCAAGAAATATAATGTACTGTACAGTTGATATGATGGAAATGTTTGTTTAGCGGGTATTTGGCCATAAACATAATTACCTGGAAAATAAAGGGACTTCAGGATGAAAAATTAAGGGATCATCAAAGTGATTAATGAATATATGCACAAGCATCTTTGAGTTGTCGAGGAATTCTGCA